ACAATCTATCTCTTTCCGAGGAAGCACAAAAACTGCAATCAAACAATCAAAACAGCTATTTTTGCGTATCAGTTACAGAACACAAAGGTATCTGCGCATTCTGAGCTCAATTACGGGATCATTTATATAAGCTTCGTCAAAGCTTTGCTAGAATCTGTACGATGAGATTTTATTGAACCTGGAGAATTTAAGAGCCCTAGAGTGTATATTTCAGTGCATTACAGACTTTACGATAAGCCGTTGTCATAAAATAAGAACAAATTCAAGCTGCAATTGATGGAAACCAGTAATCAGGGCAATGTCACGGGACTCTGTTTATGGCATTTTTATTCTTTGTGCCCCATATTCATCCATATATGGACACATCTATGTCCTGCTCAGACACTATAGCGTTTTTACACGTCTCAATCACATCAGATTCCGAGGTTTTTTATTTTTGTTCCCTCTGCAAAGCCGTATATGCCTTTTTAATTATTACTGCAAGTGGATAGACAAATTACTGCTCAACGACACTCGGCCACAAGAAACGCACACTACTATTCTAATGAGCGGTCGCGTGGACTTCATATTCTTCTGCTCAACTACCAGCGGTTCCGCATTTCCCGGGCTTCAAACTATCACCCGGCCGGATGGTACAAACATTAAATAAAGTTAGTTCCGTCGCGACCATTTCCCACTGGATTACTTCTTTCGTTTACATTTAGTTGACCTACCACTGACTTAACCTCCTTACTTCCCTAGTTTATAACTACTATATTCATACAGTTTTCGTGTACTTGGATACACAATTTTCAGGCTTCATACCAACCTAAATGCCCATACTTTTACGAAAAACAATACTTTATACTGTTGTAATATACAATATAGCACTGTTATTCTACACACAGCCCATAAGTTGAAAACCCTGATATGCCTGTAACATGACATTTGTGTTAGCGGTGTTTTACAACGAGGTCTGAGACATAACTTCGTGTGGTTCACAATATTTAATCTAATAATCATCCTGAATGAACCTAGGATCACAAAAGAAGGCAGGGAGAAGTTTTTTACCAACAGCCATTGTTGGTGATGTGAATGAAAACAATCCACCCAAATTTGAGTGATATTATATCCCTTTCTTTTCATGCTCCTTATAATTGTGGACGAAGCAACCGGTCGATGAAATTGAGACTTTTCTTGTGTTTGCCACTACTTAGATTCAAGTTTTAAGTTAACCTTGTTATTCATAAGTCACCCCAGGCCCTCATGCTATGACTAAATGACTGGCATTTGATGAAATGGGAGGACAGTAGATAATAATCAAAAACGATAACTGATAGCCATGAGCGTCTGTAAGCACTTTATTTTCCCCTTAAATATAACAAACGACCTTTCCATTTCCTACTCCGACTCTCCATTCATTACTCAGATCCATTCCACCTTGTTGCACGTCATGACTAATTGTTATATATCACGGTATTCCTTTGTCAAGAAACCTCAACTACAGGTCATCCTAACAATAGCGACTAGCATGAGCTTCGCCCTCCAACTTGACTCATGGATTTGAAGGTTCTTCCTACTTCTGGATCATATACCTGGCATACGCGTATATCAAGGTCATGGCTTGTGCAAACACCTTTATAGCCTGTTGACTTCGATTTCATCGAGTGATGATGTTAACATTGTACAGATGCCACTTACCCTTGTAGCTAATTATCGACTTAATACGCGTTAGAAAATTACGGACTAAAATTAATCAAATCATGAGCTTATTGCCAGTGACAGACAATTAGAGGGACGAAGCGGAGAAAACCGGCGAAGGAACCATGACACCTCGCCATACTACTCATTACAAGCGTCAATATAAAGCAAAATAGATAGGGTGTAGTGTGGTAAAGAGAGTGGGGTTGGATAGAATAGTTAATGACAAACAAATACAAGGCGCATGAGCATAGAAATACAAGTGAAAAAAGATGCTTATGTGCTCAAACTCACAGTTTTCTATGAAAAGAATAGAGTTATTGAGAAAGCAAGTATGACTTCAAGTACCATGCTGTTTGATTTATTGAAATCTCTTCGAAGACTAGGATAAATCGTGTTCGCGTGTATTAGTATCAAACACTACGCCTACTCGTCGCTTGACAGCAACTACAAACCTATTAAATGATGACATGACACAAAAATCTGGCTGATATAGCTCCATAAACATTCCAACATAAGGATTTTCAGATTTATTTGTGCCGCCTCTTAATAAGCCTACTAAAGTAGCGCCCTGCCTGTAAATCGTTGACGTATGTCATTTTCATGTCTGTAAAAATGTTATCCAACAAACTTGTAGAAAATAATTAGTAATTGTTAAAAATACTCCTCCAATCATGAGGTCTCCAGTGCTACTTTAAGCTGAAGTCGAGCTTCTACAGAATTAGCAAAGTATCTTAATCCATCTGCACTTTTGAAAGATCTGGACATACTGATAAGCTTATCTTAGTTGTCCTCGATCCGAAACAGCGTGTTCAGCTTTGTCTGCGCACATACTGATTGTGAAAACACCAGTTTACGTAATGTACGGTTAGAGTTAGTATCTATGGTCATGTCTCACAGTGATCTTCACAGTCATAGTCGCGATCCTAAGAATGCGGCTACCGCGGTAACGTTGTGTCGGAAAGGTTATGAATAGTAGTGGCGTTAAAACGACCTTCCACTTAGTTAAACTCGAATATATTCACCATGGTTTACACAGCCTTAGTGAGATCAAAACCGGAAAATTATGTACGGAGAACAAGCCTCTGTTTAGAAGGCTACTACCCATAAAGTTACGGAGCTGCTCGGTTTACCATATGCAATGCGGCTTAAAACGTTAAACCACATTTAGCGCAGAGTAGGTAACTTAATTAGGACGCGTGGGATGCCAAAAATGACTGACGTATATCTGTTATTATCACTTTTTTGACTCCTCATACTATCCACATGGATAATTAATCGTATTACTTGTTCGCTTCTCCTGACCATCGTCCTTTCTCAATTGTTCCACATTCAACTTTCCTCATTTGTTATTTTTCGCATTGCAGTAAACCAATATCCAACCTGTTAGCTGATAGCTGCTGGTTCCAGAAACCCTACTACTCTCAGACAAATAGGATTACTCAGATTTGAAGACATGCGAATAGAAAATTAACAAACTTAGTAAGAATAGTTCAGTCGGGTAACTAGGCTGAACCCACCCCACTGAACTCTGCCAGAAACTTAGAACCTGACTGAAATAACAACAAATGGGCACAAAGAAATCCTCAGTTTTATACTAGCTCATTACAAGTATATTGGGTTTTGTATATTACTGATGTTGCGACTTTAAGGCCGGCTAATTATCATGTGATTTATTTGCCAATTGAAATGAGACATATATGTTCTTAGTACAGTACAGCGTACAATAATAATCTTTAGATCAAAATGAAGAGTATAATAAGAATATGGATATACATAATTTAGTTACTGAATAGTTATAAATAAGAATATATATAATATTAGCCCCTTATTAGTCCTCAGAGGTTGCCCGTAATTTAATCTTTATTAGGATGTAACAATTGGTAGGAAGTATTATCCTGAAGTGATTCGCACTTCTAAAACTTGTGTCTTCACTCACAAAGATGCCATTTTTATCCAAAGAATCTGTCTCGAGCTCAACATTCAGTAAACTACTTTTCTCTTCGAGTTTTATCCGAGTTAATAGTTACCCATGGCTTTGCTCCAACCAACTGTTCCAAGTTTTAGTGTTTTTCATGTCAGAAGGATAGTTTCAGTATATCGTAAATTTTTTAACATTGCCCGTTTTATCCGTTTCACCCATCTTGGATATACTATTCTTTTTAACATTCATAAATATTTGCCAGAATGTGTTAAACGACTTATATTTCACCATGATCACTACGAAAATATGTAAACCACCTGGACGCCATTTTGTCATCACCTGTGATATGCAGTGAGACAGATGAAAAGGTGGATTTCACGAAACATACACAAACATTACAGTAACTGCTTACAACAGACTTAATGAGTCAAATCGCATGTGAACATGTCGCACATACAACATGAAAGCTGAGGATTCTCCGAGTGATATGATGATTCTCCTGGTAGTTTTGACAAAAATTGTCAGTAATCTTGAAAATAGCTGTTCTTGAGTGAATAAATAAACCAAGACGCGCGATGGGGTAAAGCGGAAGTTGTTAGACAAAATAAGTACTGATGGAAAAAGCACCAAAACTAGTGGGGATATGTTGAGACTCAGGGTCACCATAATATCGACGGTATTAGAATCTCTTTTTAAACTTATGTCTCCTAGCAAAGACTCTCCAGATGTAGCTGTAGTCCTCGAAACGTCTACGGTAGGCGACTGGACTCTAATCAATAGGACTAAACGGGGTCGAAAGTCACTTTCAAAAACAGTGAACAGCCTAGGCCTTGTGGGAAAATCAGATAATGAATCGGCCGTTCAGTATACTCCTAAGATCATCTAACCAGTCCACAAAAAACACAGGAATCCGAACGGCGACCCAACTGCCAATCGGAACTGACCTCAATCTAAACGTACTCAAAAATCTAGAAAACGGTCACTGTACCCAACGTACATTATGGTAAAAACGTAGGGCCTCAAGTCATGTTGACGCTAGAACGTTTTTGACTTCGTATTTGTGCGTCCCAAGCTTGAGTGCTGCATATATGCGGCTAGCCCCTACTTAAAAAAGACAGTAAGCTTTTGGAGAAGGTTTGGAGGGCAGAAACTAAGCTGATTCTCGGAATGGCGAAGCTCATGTATGACGCCCGACAGGCTAAGCTTAACCTATTGCGATTGTCATATCGAAGAACTAGAGGTAACTTCATTACAGTTTTCATACACCCTGTGATAAATTTGCATCTGATATGCCCCCATTTTTCTGTTTTCCAAAACAGAGGGTTTACGAAGACATTCCCTTAACATGTGATTTAAGCTCCATCTGTTAGCTCTTTCAAAACAAAGTTGGAAAAACTGAAACTGAGCGATATGCATTACAGGCGCGTTAATTGTATTAAGCGCTACCAAGAGCAATGAGTATTTCGTCGAAGGTAGATAATTGCTTCTCCTGTTTTGTAAACACTGGTTTACTTAATTACTGCTGGCCCGTAATCTCACTTTTGTGTGTTTTCAACCACTCGGAAAGACGGCCTTATTAACTTATCATAGGTATCTTCAGTTTGGGTAGGCTTCCTAGAAATAGTTCAATCAGACTTGAATGATTTGAATCCTGTTCAATATAACACGACAGTATAACGATCTATCCTTGTAGTTGATATCCGAATGCGTTTGATATATATTAACTGCGGTTATCTACTTCTGATGCCCTTCACAAGTATTTTCTTATTTATGGTTCTATGAAGTTGCATAGTTCAAATCTAACCATTTTTATCTTCACATATCTGGATCGTCAGTTCGGCACTTCAGAGCTGAACCCCTGTATTGGTTTCGTACTGATAGTATCAGCTGATGTAGCACAATTTAACTTAATTATCGAAACACTAGAGTTTTTGATAACCGAGATAGTAGGATTCTAGAATTCCACCGTAAAAATGAACGTTATGACTTTCCGCGGCATCTCAAACATCAGATGGTCTTGTATATCTCAATTATAAGCCTCCCCCTAACAAGCACATTGATATGGCCAAGGGTAAGAAAAGTCTGCTCACCCTCTTGCAATGCTCCCATACGGTCAAATTTTTATAGCCTCTATCAGGAAAGCTCTACTCACTGCCTTCACGTGGTAGAAGTGTTTGCAAAAGTAAAAGAACGGAAAGTGAACGGCCGGCGTCTAGACTTGGTGCATACTGTGGGTCCATCTGGCGTGTTTGTAAACTCGGGTCGCAAACCAATGGTGAATAACAACTCCAGCAACCCGAGGTGGTAACCAGCGTATGAAGTTATTTTGGTCACTGGCCATCATGGGAATATATATAACGTTGCTCCATTGCCTTGTGGGTCAAACCCTTGGATCAAAACTCGTGGAGTGGTTCTGTAAGAAAACCACCTTCCACGGTTTGACAATATCGTACTCCACACATATTTTGTGTGCTGCATACTATTTTCCGATCCTCAGTTGTACCAGATTTTATGTAAACTAAATAAAATAGTAAATTATAGTGTTAGTTTATTTTGTTAAGTATCACACCTCTGGTAGGACCTAAGATTTCAACTGTAATATGAATTGAAATAATGTTATCGATTAATAACTACTTAGCTCTTAAGGTGATAGTTTGTATCTTTAGCTGAAGCATCATTCCTTCCTGACCCACTCATCATTCAGCATAGACTTGTATAAATATGGATCAAATCAAGTTTCCACGTGACATAAGCACAGTAGGGACTAAGTAAAATGAAAAGCAGAGAAACTGAGGTAATAATATTACTGGTAACGGAAAACTAGACAGGAAATATGATTTGCAAAGAATCTATGAAATGACTGAATGAAGATAAGTGCAAGACAATGTGAAATCTAAAACTTAGGAGAATTTGAACAGTGAATTGATCTCATGCAACCAACCTCAGGTCATTAAATACAAGGTTTCCAACTGTAAATTATTCATCTTTGTAATACCTACCAAACCTTGATACCTCACGATACAGCTCTGTCTATTGTTAATTGACGTTTTAGACTGTCTCCATACCTTTGTATTGCGACACAGGGCTCATTTCAATCAATTTTTATGCTAGCAAGCATTATATGCCAGGATAGGGGGTGAACGAATATTAATAAAAAGTTCTTCAGACATCCCAAATAACCAAAAGTCATATTTCAAGAAAAATACCCATTTATTTGTTTCAGGCCCCCTTAATTTCCAAGTTTGTAAGAATCACCCTAAATGATATGATTGTTGGCCGAAAACATGTTTTTGGTATTCATCTAACTCCGCCATTTCATCACTTCTGCACAAATTCGGTATCAAGCCTTAATGAACAGGAGCCCATAAAGGAAAGCCCTCATACAAATATCCGTAAAAATTACAAAGGCAAGCTATATAAACAAGCCGATTTAGCGACCAGTGTAGAATATTTTAATTCTGATGGTATGTCAACGATTTCCCTTCGTTCAACCTTCTTTTTAGTATTTAGAAATACCTATAAAGGAAAACCTGTATGGTTTTACTACAGACGTAACTATAAGGGACACTTCCCTTCGAGTATAACAAGAAAGAATTGTGTTGTATGTTTAAATACTTGCTTTACTTTTTATATGTTCCTTCATCTTCCTTCTTGTCGACGAGCACTTATTTACTGGATTTCATGATGATATCTCTAAACTCTGTTATAGTAGGATATTTCTAGGTGCATAGTTTATGTTGTTACTGTCATTGTGTTTATTATCATATATAATATAGATGATAATATTAACATGGATCCGTGTAACGTATGTGTATTTGGTGCCTCCTTGTAACAATGTTTGTGTTTAAATAATGGATCTGACACAACTAATATGTACCAGACAAGCGCTTATAATAACATCTATATTATATATGATAGTTTCCATTGAAACAACATTCAAGCAATAATTACAAAGCTGTTTGAACTAATATTTATATATTATTTATTTATTTGGACACAAATATTAATACAAGGGGGCACCAAATATTTATGCGCCACACAAAACAATGAGAATGGGAAGAGAAAAGTTAAGGAAGGTAAGGAGCGTAAAAAAGAACAATAACGACCAGATTAGTGTAAGATACTGTAATGATAATAATATATTAATAATAATAATAATGGGGGAGACGTAAAGGTACAATCAGAAGAAATCTTTCAGTTAAGGAAGATACAACCACTTTTTTATGAAGAAAGTAAAAGCAGATTACAGCAGAATCGCCACTGGCTTCTATTCTGAGCCATATCTGATAACGTCTCTAGCCACTGTGTCGCACCATCTCTCGGACCCCAGCCAGGGAGTCGTGAAGGGCCAAGAGAAGCCAGCCCTTTGCAGCTTTCTTTCATACCATGACACCATGTCATATACTGACCACCTCTCCGCTTTTTCCAACCAGTCGCAGAGTCGGCAAATAATGCACGACGTGGAATTCTCTGGGACGACATTCGTAGAACATGTCCAAGCCACCGAAGTCGGTGTTTCAAGATGGTGACACCAATTGGATTATCGTCTCTGTGCCCGAACACACGACGCCGAACCTCTGCATTACTGATATGGTGTTGCCACTGGATGTCTGCAATCCTTCGGAGACAGCGATGATCGAACACAGAGAGTCGTCTAACATCCTCAACTCCGAAAGGCCAGGCTTCACAAACATAGGGCAGAACTGCTCTGACCGACGCGTTGTAGATCCGGCCTTTCACAGCCAGACTAACATCACGAAGGCGCCAAAGATGGCCCAGGTTGGCATAAGCCGCTCTGGCTTTCACTATTCGTGCATTGATCTCATCACTCATGCCACCGGCAGCACTTATGCAGCTACCCAGATACACGAACTTCTCGACTACTTCTATCTGCTCACCATCCAGAGTGATTGCAGGGTTAGAGTCCTGCCAGTCTTGTAGAAGTACTTTGCACTTCGAAGGTGCAAAGCACACACCGTACCTACGGACACTGATTGCCAACCGATTAAGTGCGGATTGGATGCCTTGGGCATTATCGCACAGTAAGACGATATCATCCGCATATTCAAGGTTGAGAAGTCTTTCTCCAGGCAACTAATCCACACCACCATTACTTACATCCATCAGAGCTGTTTCCAGAATGTCATCGATGGCAAAGTTGAAGAGGAATGGTGAGATTGGGCAACCCTGTCTAACCCCACTGCTCAAATGGAACAATGGAGAAAGGTGATTGTATGCTCTCATTCTGCTTGAGGTGTTTGTATATAGGGCCTTTAAGATGTTAATGAAGTTCTCAGGCACACCCTTCTACAATAGGCAATCCCAGAGAACAGTCCTGTCCAACTAATCGAAGGCAACCCTAATGTCAAGAAACACTACGATTGTTGACCTTTGATAAATATGACGGTGTTCTAACACTTGAGAGAGGGTGAAGATATGGTCAATACATCCTCGACCAGAATGAAAACCAACCAGCTCCTCACGAGTCAATCTTTCTCGGGTTTCGAACAACCTACGTAGTATGACGGAAGCCAATAGCTTGGACGCAATCGTGTGTTTTATTTGGTAATATTTAAAAGGGGAACAAGATCGTCCACAAACTGCTTGCAGTATTGTACTGTAATTGACAATGTTATCCAGATGTTTGGATGAATAAAATAAATATTGATGTGTACAAGTTCATAGTGGTTATATAGTCAGCTCACAATGCACAGGCACTTGTTCGTTGTTGTATACGAATTTGACTAGTATACTGTCTTACCGAATTTTGAAATTTTAGACTTTTTTTGTATGTAATCATTCTCCATACATAGGAAAAAGTGTACAATACAGCACCTCATTGACAATAATTAGCATTGTTTCTTTGTGAATGCAATTCTCACTTGTTTCATCCAATGAATTGAATTTTTAGATCAGTCGTCCCTAAATTGGATTTCGACTGAAGACATCTAACAAATGTACCACCTCGTATCAGATTAAACTTAAATGTATTGTACACATGCGCCGATATTTTCATGAATCAAACTAAATTAGATGCATGAATTACGCAACTTATAATCTATGACAGTGCCAATAAGTCAAAAGACTATGTATTAAGAAATGAGTATGTGATTTTGACCACTCACGAAATCGTTTTCAAAGCATCTTGACTACGTGGTGTTAAGCCATAATACAATGGTTGTTAGTTCTCAACTTCATTTAATCGGTGACAAAATAAGGTCATTCTACAATCTCACGGGTTAATAAACTTCTGCACTGTTTTCCGAATTGGCCCTACTAATTTCTGCTCGTTAAACTCTAAAAATATTCACTACTTAGCAAGTTGCTGTTGGACATTAGATCATCATTCATTTAAGTAGTATGTAAATTGAGTAATGAATTAATTTAGAGATTTTGTGAACTATAAGAATTACTAGGTACATATACTTCGCATTTGGTATTTTTGCCTCAATGCGTATCAACGGCCATATATCCAGTAATCAAACCCTGACTTTTCAAATCTCATGCTAAACATTGCTTAAGTTCTACTCATTCGAAACTTTTTATTTCTTATTTCCTTATAATTTGACTTCTAACTTTTTTTCTGATTGCTCTCAGCATTTTGGAAAATTCGTAAGCTCAAATCCATGCCCCATTTGTCGTGATGAATATTTAGTATTAAGTCATCGAGTAAGTTAGTCTGTTTCTTAAACTTCATTGAAAGTATAAACATCAACTCGTGACATGGCGTTTCTTTATTTTACTTGATATGCTACTGTCATTTAGAATCACTTTGTTTACCTTGAAAACTATAAAGTTTCAAATTAATGTGGATATGCATTCCAAATATACATTCATTTCAAAAGATATCAAGTGTATCCTTCAGCTAGTGATTCCCAACATGTGAATGGTCTCAGGTAGATTACTCACCTTACGATTTTCCACAATCTCCAGTATATTGTGTAGAGGTAGACGCTGCCTTAGCTTGCGTAATATGCATATCCCAAACTATCTACATTATTGAAAGTTTATAACTGTCGACTAATTCATCTTTCTTCTCCAGAGCTCTACGTTTAGTCTCTACATTTCTCATTAACAGCTCCTAAAGGATACGTACAATTGATTACCCAACATTTATTATAGCCATCTGTCTTTCGCAAACATACCTTTTATTCGTAGAATAACAGAATGAACCGTTACCAAACATACCCGTTGAGTAATTAGCATATTAATGTATGGTTGTTCTACTTGGGATTAATAAATGTTCTCAAATATATGCGTCTTCTTAATTGAAATTTAATTATTCCCTGCTTCTATCTGAAATTGTTTTTGGGTCAATAGCTTTCACTTATATCTATACCAAGTATTCGATCATAAGTGTTTCCAAAGCATTCTCTACCTATGGTAAAACATTGGAGTTAACAATCCGAACATCACCCCTAAAGTAATTGATAAAGCTGACGAATGAGTTAGTGCAGATGCAAATTTTTATCAGCCGAAAGGGCTGGGTCATGTGCTTCATATGTCCAATCATTCCCTACTTGACTGTTATGAAAGCCAGCGTAAGTGTGGCTTGGAAAGCTGATTATAGGTGGTCAAACCAAATCATGGTCTAATGTCAGTCCATTTAGTTACTGAAGTTTGAGTTTAAGTTGTCTGGGAGTAGGAGTACACTGGCTTCGTGGTTGGGATCCGGAAGAAAAATATAATCAACAATTGAAAACTTCAGGTAGTGTGGCTAAAAATTGATAATAGTATCTGTATGGATCGTCTCTAATATATCCTAGATCTTTTTGTGTTCAATAATCTCGCTATTCTATTTGAAATCAAACATAGACGTGTTTCATGATAATGTTCTATCTGTTACGTTTGGAAGTTTACACACTGATTATCGACTGTATTAAACCAAGAAACTATAATTGGTGAAATTTCAGTACAGCGATAAATAATTTAGCCACAATATCCCATTCATCTTGATTCTGTACATCTTGTCTATTTATTTAAAATTATACCCGAATAGTAATACGTATATTAGAGGGGTTGTAAAACGAACATTCATGAGCTCCACTTTCAGTTACAAGTGTTTACATCCCAATCCACTACTTACAACAATTAAGTAGTATCTCCAGCCTTCATATAACAAATATAACGCAACATCCAGTTCATACGTATATATTTGGTCTCTATTTTTTATCTTGAAATGAAACAATTTTCTCAGTAAATAAATTTGTCATTTTGTTTATCGCATAATGTATTACAAAACTTCTAATAATAATATATATTCTGAATATAATAATCACAGAATTTACGCCAGTTTACAGGTATGATCAGTTTGATATAAATAGTACTATTAAATGTGGATAACAAACATGTAACATAAGATTGTTTTAAGTTTGCTAGTTCAAAAATTGTTTAGGTAGTACATTTATGACATGTATTACAGCAATGAAATACAACAGCCTGGAACTTTTGATTCTTCTTAAGTGGACATAGTGTTGATGCATGAACGGTGCATTTAAGGTCGTTTCCTGCGCCATAACGAATTAATGATAACCATCTACAACTAGAGAAAATAAAACGGAAGCAGAGAGCACGGCACAAAAAGGCAATAATTACTACGATAGGTTAGTCAGATCTAGCATAATACATATGCCAGGTTATTTTATAATGAACGGTTCGTGTTAGATATTATTCAAATTAGTTAAGGTTGTCAGGGACGATGTTAGTGTAAAGTAACAGCTGGTAGAGAGGTTTATTTAATAGATTCAGTAATAAGAACGACTAAATCTTTAAAGTTCCTATAATCTCACTTGTGGAATAAGATACACTTACAGATGCTAGAACAGTTAATGCATTTTCAGAGGAGCAGTAAGCATCGATGCAGTGAACAAAGGATGGGAGTGATTTTTATCTTGCGGATATATTGTGTTAGATTATTCCAGAGTCTGGAAAATGTGCTAGTAAAGTAATTCATATAAAGAGAAGATTTAGAATGTGATCGTTCCACTAGTAACAAAGAGTTACGAATGCTATAAGAGTTTTTACATATTGAACTACTTCATTGGATGTAAAAGGTAGTTTATTAACTATTTTGAAGAAAAAGATTAGAATTAGTATGAGTCTCCTCTTCCATAAAAGGTCGAGTCCAAGTTTCTTACATCTAAACTTATAATTTGAGGTACAATCAGTCCCAAGAATGCGAAGTGTAAATTGTCTCTGAATGGATTCCAACCTTAATTTATCCTTTTATTTCAAAAACTGACTCCATTTTTAAATATTGTTGTTCTGAACGTCATATACTTATTATTTAATCTCGCCTATCACCTTTTTTTTCTAATTTAGCACATTGAACTGTTAAAGCAGTTTATCAATCCGGATACTTTAGAAATCTTTCCATTGTCTAAAACTGGTAAGCGTTTCTATACGAACGTATGTATAATATTTTTTACTATCCTTTCATCTATTCAATAAGCAGTCGATTATTTCTTTTTTCTGTTTTCTATGACGTAAAATGCACTTTCATATTTTGTTTCAAATAGTGACTGGTAACGGGACTCGGGACGTCCGTCTCACTGTACTCGGGATTAGTCAGCTGGATGTATGTACATCCCAGCGTTAATTTTCCCAGTGAGACTCGAATCTAGTTTTTACTACGTCTCCTACTAATTATGAACATGAACTCCGAGACGCAGACATGTCCAGTTGGTGAGTTGCAAGTAGGACGAGACTCACTTCCTGAGTTCCACTGCGACCCTCTGTCCAAAAAATATAATTAGCTTGTAACTGCATGTAGTGTCGAGGGGGTCATCTTGAAGAACCGATTAAACACAGCCCTAGATATGAGCCTGGTACCTTAGTGGACGGAACACTTGGCTTTTAATCAGTAGGTTATACGTTCGAACGACGTTCTACCTATGTCGGTTTGAGCAGGTGGATAGCACTATAGTGAACGAGAACACAAGTGGGACAATAGAATGTATTTGAAAACAAAATTACATCAGTAAAATCTGAGAATCATGCAGTAAATGCTTAATTTGCAAAATGTCAATCAACCGTCTCAGATTTCACTGTTCCTTCATTTCCACAGCAATCATTCTATGTTGTCGTTCTTTTTTCTTCGATCTTCTGCTGCCAGTTATCTCACTTTCGATTGGTGATACATACTACTTATATCTATCAACGTCAGTAGCATACACCAGAGTATTACTACCCTTTACATGACTGGTGTATCTCAAAGTAGAGTACATAAACAGATTCGTGATATGTGAGTTAACGTCTTCTGTTCGTGTCCTGATTACAAACAATAAAGAGATACAAATCTTTACAAATAATAATAAAATGTATCAGTAAAACAAAACTTAGTCACATATATATTCATTTGTAAAGTTGTGGCTCATTTAGCTTAGATATTCGAATTTTACCGAATAAATCATTGGTTAAAAATTACTTTGCTTACCAATGTCTAACCAACTATCTGGTGCTATACATAATAAATAGTTACCATAGTTGTCTAAAATGCACAAACACGGCCAAACTTATGAGTTGTTACGAAATTGGATATGTTTTATGGAATGAAGTGCAATCAAATTTATACAATAATCATGTAGAATAATGTATAAATAATCGATTTTTGTTCATAGTTGATTTAAGGCAATAATTTTCTGAATATCTAACTCATTTAAACGAGAAACTTTTCTTTTTAAAAATAAAAGTCTTTCAATATGAATCTCATTGTCTTATTGAGATTGTCAATAATAGCTTGTTCAAATTATGGTATAACTTTTTTATGGGAAAAGAAACGATAGCGTTAACTAACTTTGTTATTTCCAAGTAAATAAATCCAACTCAGTAATCTTAGGCAGCATTATGTATTAATAACAGACGACAAAACATATTTTGTACACAGACTTTCGATACTATCCAGTGCCTTCAAATGTCATTAAACATCGTGGAGTTCGACCTCTAGGTTCATTAATCTAAAGTATATCTACTTATAAAAGTACTCAAGACTAGAGAAAGTTAAGGAATATTGATACTATGCAGTATCACAACTAACTCATACAATCATTTCAGAAAATTGAATTACACCATCTAGAAACACGTGTGCTTTTTCATTTTGTGGTTTAACAAATTAATTAAAATTATGTTTTATAAAAACTCAACTTACTAGCTTACATTTATCCAACTTTTATCTTTCTACTAATTTTAGGAAATTCTTGTTATTTTCTATTTGTTAAGATTGTAACCTGTTAACTAATCAGAATCTATGGTTAAAAAACATTAAGTAATGGCATAATTTGAACCTTTTTTTATAAATGTTCAGTCATTGGTATGGATGAATTGATCCTCTATCTTTAATCAGCTTTAATACTATTTTATATTTCCTTTCATTACCGATTTTTATTTATTTCCTCATTCTATTTCCTATGTTCAGCTTCCCACCAGCCATTGATGTCATTAGTATTGTTTCTTTGACTCTGGAATTAAAATTGCCTAACGTGGCCGATGCCTGTACGTTAGCTGAGTCGTTATGTGACAATAGAACCACTGAACGGCTGACTAAATATTTTGGACTTTAAAAACTGTTGTTTGTATACAAAAGCTATGAGCATCGAAACTAAAACTTTATATCAGTCCATGAAGCCACTGAATGTTAACGTGAGCCATTTTGATATATGTAAATTAGCTAGTTAGAGTCTGCGCAATTACCGTAATCAAGTGGTCAGAAACATAGGGCGAAATACCTTAGAATCGACAACAGCCGAGTTACATTCACTTTTTATCTTCCTACAGATATTGAGATCCAATATCTCTTCGTAAATATTCTTTCATTTCTGTCTTTTCGAACCATACTCTGGATGCTTAGTGTTACTCGTTATCACGACTACTACATTATTTTGATGTCTTTTGCATCTCTTCATCATCCTTGATTTTATAACGCGAAATATGTGTTTTGTTCTGTGACTAGATAGATTGTTTAAGTTATCCATATTGTATGGATAATAACTTTTAGTGGTTAACGTACTTGAATCTCAAACAGTGAGTGAGCTAAATGCTCTCTGATTCCCTTTCTGTCTACTTCAGTTTGATGAATCACTGGGCAATATAACAACACTGGTGGCTCTCATTGGAAGAACCATATCTGAAAGTCAACTGGGTACATGAATCACTCCTCTGATTATGTTAATGACTTAACAAAATAAATAATGATCATTTGTAATGGATAAAAATAATCGATAATTTTTGGATACTTATTGTTAATCTGTTTTTTATTTGCACAAATTAAATTAATTTATTCTACAATTGACTATATTTATAGGTATATGCAGACATCAGTATAAAATTTTACAACATGAAGTTGAAAAAGCTCGTGATTTAGGTAAGTGTTTGTTTCGAATTATGTGTGCATGGATTGGAGGCGAAAGGGGAAGGCGGTATGAGAGACTATGTGTTTACTTACCATTCATATAACACTTATAAGACCATTGGTATTTGTGTCATTTCTCAAAATAGTATGGAAATGTTCAAAACATGTTTGACGAAATATAATTGTCTTCATGGACTGATATCAACTAGGAAGCCATTAAAAACTGAAAGGGACTGAATAACTTTCAATTTAATTAGATACTGTTCAACAATCCGTTTTCAAAACCTGGTTTCGACCTATATATATATATATATAGTCCTGTGTTCACATTCCTCAGAGTTCCGATTTAGACTAACAACCGTTCAGTGCTGCATAGTTTACAGTATTTCCCAAGCTAATATAATTCTGTGATAACAATTACGAAAAATTACCATGAAATTAACTAAGTAAATATTACATTTACTTACTGATGACTAACTTTTTAGTATAGTTCTCCCATTTCTATTAAAAATTTGTAACTTGTGTATAGTCAGTGAAGTTGAAGAACAGAAGCACAGTGAGACTTAATTGATGACGTTCAATATAGATAGTGTTATATCACAAATTGAATATATTTAAACGTGTATATCATTGTATTTTAACTTATATATAGTTTAACAGCATCTTCCGTTTTATCCTTTGCATGAAAGAAGATTTTGTCGGTTGTTAGATGAAATAAATATAGATTATCAATTGATAATCTTACATAATAAAGATAATCTTCCTTTCTTTAAAAAAATTTAACTAGTGAGCTATTTGTTTCTATTTAATCTTTTCAGGTTTAATTCAAACATGGTTGCCTTTCTACCTATATAATTACCATGATTATTATGATTATTTACCAAAGGATCAATTAAATGAATTACTTAAAATCAATAACAGCCAACTTACACATCAAGATGCTGTTATATCGTCAAATGATATTGCCTCCTTACCGTTGGATATACAAGAAATATTAAAAGCGAATCAATCTATACCACATACAGAGGAATTCACTATTCAATTACCAGAGATTAATATTGATCGACCAAAGGTCACCAAACGTTATCAAATGGAAGAAGATTATAAAGCGCTGTTGATTCGTCGAAAACGATCACGTTCATTTATTTTAAATTGAAACAAAAAAATCAATAATGATGATAACATATTTCAAACTCAGGGAATAACTGTAAAGCTTGAAATATGTGTATATAGAATAAATGAATTAATAAAAATGAAAGACAGTACTTTTGTATCTATGTTGGTGTGTACTCGCTTATGTTTGTAATGTGCTTGATCGATTGGTTTTCTCATGATAGGAATTAATTTATATTCACAGTTGAAATCACGAGTCAATCTAAGCTACTTCACTATTGAAAATCTGGAAGTACCGGACGTCCGTTCAGTCTTAGTATGATACTCCATAGCAGTGTGCATCTATGATCCCGCACAAAAATGACTCGAACACAGGACTTTCAGTTTCGCATGTGGACACTTAACCTCTGAACCAGTGATCCAGTATCCAGCGCTCTCGATGTCTAACTTCAATCAATCCACGATCTTGCAATCTTTTTATCCATCGTTTTCGGTGGATATCTGTCTCACTCTACACGGACTGGACTCCACTGGTCATGGCTTCTCACTACAATTCCAGGAACTACATCCTGAAGCTAATCACCAGTGAGCACGTGATCGTTATCAGTATCGGTGATTTGTGGAAACCGTAGTATATTTTGCTGAGCAATATGATAGTTAAAAGACATGATTAAGCTATAAGTTTTTTGATTGAGATCATGAACCGATTAATGTTAGACCACCACCTTTGGAAACCTAGGAACATTGGACGGCCTTTTCGTCCTATTGTGGGACTCCTCAGCAGTGCGCACTCACGATCCCGCTCGCGGGATTCGAACCCTGGGCCTTCGGTCCCGCGCGCGAACGCTTAACCAATTGGACCACTGAGCCAACATCCAGTGGTGATATTGTCTAACATCAACCAATCCACGAAATTGCGCGACCAACTTCCATTGTACTGAGGTAGATACCTGTCTCTACCCGACATGGATTAGCTCCACTGATCACGGCTTCTCACCAGAACTCCGAGAATTCCCTCACGAAGCTAGTCACTATTGAGCACATGTTGATTACTAGTATGGGGGTTGTGGAGATTATTACGTTTTTGATTGAGATCATGAACCAATTAATGTTAGACAACCACCTTTGGTTTTTTATCATAAATGTCTTCGAAGTATTTCTCTAATTTCATGCAGCAACTGAGCCAACAATTTTGGTGTCAGGCATAGGAAAGGACAAACAGGTTGATGATGCCATGAATTTTTATTGACTGAGTCGGTAAAGGCGTGTAATGTGCATGCTTAACCACTGCCTATCTCAATGCATGATTATTTCTGGTGTAGAAGTAGTTTAGGAGAAGGCTGGCGGGACCAACCTGAAACAGTACTTCAGCTCACGGAATTACTGTCTGTTGGTTTGAGCCATGTTGGTAGATATAGACTATCTGATTAGAGTCCGTGCGTTTGTCACGCTCAGTGGCTATAGACTTCGGATGACATGGCTGTAGATCGTTCACAATAGCACAGATGCATTCAATCATCCTCTCGATCTTGAATTACCGTATTCCTTCATATAAACCTTTTTTCTGTCTTTTCGAACCACATACTTCATCTTTAATCTACTTCATCGTCATTGCTATTATATTATTTGAGTCTCTTTCGCTATGCATCGTGCTAATGTGGTGTGAGAACTATGATCAGGCTCTACGTTTATGATGTCCGATTGATTAACAGCTCTTTTAATCTTTGTCGATCTACCTTTGTTCACTAGTTTACTGTATCTCCATGGCAAATCAAACTTCTATTGTTAGCATTTTTTACTTAGTGGTTCTACTACCTTTATTACCGTTTTCAGTAGTAATTGTTCAGTGGCCATGTAACAGAATACAACTTACCGTTGCCCAATAAACCATCTCTTATACTTTACCAGATACCCCTTAATATCATAAAGTAAGACAGATTGACGACTACCATTTAAGCTTCGTTCCAAGTTTTTCTCTATCAGCCCATCAAATCTGCCAAAGTGATGGTTCTTCAGGGATATATTGTCTACTTACTCTAAGGTATTTAGAGCAATAAGGTACGAAAATGAAGTATTTTTATCAGTATGTCATTGATCATGTCTACAAGTGTAGTTATTTTAACAAACTACTAATTGTATGACCTAAAGTACAACTTTCTACATACTTTCAAAGGCCTCAATAAATTTGTGTATCAGTACTTATAATAACCTTGGGTCGTTTAAGGATCATCGATACCACTATTGCATCCAGTTTGTGGCTGGGTGAATCGATGGAAAAAGAACCATAGCCAAAGTTTAGTTAAACTGCTTCTCATTATTTTATCCTGTTTATCTAAATAGTAGTTGGATTTTTCAGACTTTTGATTGATTTACATCGTTTTTTCTTTCTATTTTACCTTGTTAAATATTATCTTAGTTACGTGTATTACATAACAGTCTTCTTTCCAAAGAAGGAAATTTATATCAACGAGCAAGAAATTTATGGTAAGAATATGAATGGGATATTTTTTGATTTGGTTTTTTAATGCTATCCATTACAATCTGTCATATATTCTTCATCTAATATGGAGCCTTAAAGGAGTGGTTTATAAAATTCTCCAATTTCATTAAAAACAGTTTTCAGTATTGAATTTATCGAATCATCAAGTTATATTTATTCCCTTGTTTTGTACGCATGAATTCTTTTCGAATTTTTGGGAGGGGGTCTACATGAAGTAGTCACTCTAGGGGATATTTATACAAAGGATTTGACGTGTCCACTATCGCTGGGTCCTAAAATGGTAAAGTTAACCAATCACTGATTTTTGTGATTATTCAAACGATTAAAGATTATAATTCAATATTTCATCGCTTTAACTAGACATATGCACAAAATACCACACATCTCTTCAAAAAGGACCCAGTCAACTTACGTAACTAATCGGATGACATAAGAGAAACTTTGTAATAATAGCGTTCGCCTGTTACCCCAGAAAAACGACTCGTTTGAATGTCTACAATGTATAGTCTTAATTATGTATCAATACATAGGTGAATTAAATGACAGTATAATCGCTATCTTGGTACTTTTATTGCGTCATTTTTATAGTCCACGTAACTAGGTCATTATCTGTCTTATACACTGAATTCTTCATCAGACCAATAGATCGACTATCGAGTAGTAGTGTTAATTTGTATTTCACTTTCACAGTTTATAACTTTGTCATAGCTTGGTGATAAACTTTACAAATATTAATTGCATATATCTTGCAAAAATTGAGTCATTGCTGATAATAAACGATACAGTCTGGGCATCAAAATATAGTATCAAGAAGTTGTTCATATCATATAAAAGTTGTTGAACTTATGAAACTGTGGCCTAATGATAAAAAAACGCCATCAATCGGTAAGTTATAAGTTTGATTCTAGTTCTAACTACCACTTTTCGAGCAGCTAATTAGTACCACTAACCTTCACACAAACAGCCAATTTATGCCATAGTACCAAGGTATAAAAGAAAGTTGTTTAATACTGGTTTCTTTCGGCTCATCACGATTCTGTGGTTTATGTCCGAGTGGTAATGCAACCTAATGGCTTATCAGACTTGGCTCAGAACAGAAACCAATGGTGATGCTACCGTAATTTTATTTTCCTTTACTCATATAGGTGAAAGAAACCTGTTAAATTAAAAGAACCATTTTGGGTTGTATTTTTCTTAACTAGACTGTTTCTCCCATTATTTTTTACTCACATTAACTCATTTCCATCCACTATACTCACTTTACGTCTTCTATCTCTTCACAATCTCATTTTCTTATTGTGTGGTGCACATTTATTTTGGTATCCCTTTGTACCTATATTGATGTGTTTAAAAGAATAGATAAATAGATAACTCTAATACACAAATCCAAACTTCATATAAGAATACCATAACACTCATACCTGACATGTGTCGATCAACATAGAAGAACGAGTATATATCATCTTTGAGGATTGCATTCTGTCACATATTGGTTGAAGTTGGAAATGTAAACTATTGAATTCAAACTTACTGCTAACAGTAAGATCGAAAGGTCTTATGTTCACCCCATAATCTATCGGGTAGTAGATATATACTACTCAAAATGGCCTTAACTACAACTAAACGTCTCTTCAATGCTTCCTAGTTTTTACTAGTTGCTCAACTGTAATCATTTCATGATCACTTAGAGTACCTCTCCATTTGTGTCTTATCCCAACAATAGTTTCACGAAGAATATTGACCTTAATTCAAATGTTATTGCAGATTCCTCAAGTTAAACATCAGTCAAAATTTTAGGCGTATCAACATTTTAATTTTTCTATTCTAAACTACACAATAATTCATTTATCCTGCATTATTGTTTTTTTTAATCTACTTTGTTTATCCTATCTATCTATGTGTTGTTATGCATCAGGACATCAATTAATGAAGGTCATGGACCACTGTATTTTATAGCTCCGCAAACACGTCTACGTGTAGTTGACAATAGTCCATGGAGTAGTATTGCTCCCACAACCCATATAAACACTGGTAAAGATCAACCAGTCAAGAAAGTTCCTAACATTGATCAAAAACTATCAAAACCAGTTAAAGATATGAATGATGTGTCCAATTTACTTTCATTAGGTTCAAAAGTACTATCAATTAAACCGGCAAAATGTATTCGTGTTTATAATAAACGAAATAAAGGAACTATAGGTAATGCACACTGAAGTTACTTAATTTTTTTTTAAAGAAAGTCTTACTTAACTAATATATAAATATATATTACTTTCTCGAGCTGTATCTTTGATGCCTAGTCTTTTCTGTTACCAATAATACTGTTACTACCTCTACTACTTTGAGCATTTATCCTGGATAATATCATCTCGCCGTGGTAATGGGATACGTCAACTTGAAATGATGTACACACATACTACGTTCTTCTATGCTATGTTTGATTAACTGTCTGATTGAAATTACTTAATTTCGATCCGCTTTTAGTGGTAATCATTTGAGTTTACAAAAAATTCTATTGTAACGTTTCAATTTTTACTCAGTGTTAACTAAGCATCATTATATGCAAAATTCAGTATCACCCCTAATTTCATTAATTTGTATTGATTCGAATATTCCCGTTGATGTTTAGGACTACAAGTGATCAGTCTCCTTTGGCATTTGTTCATCCTGTGCGAATCGCCTTAAGTCACAATCATTATAGGCATAGATAAATGGCGGATAGCATTGGAATCCACGACGCGCGTTTCGTCTGATTTGAGGTTTGTTCGCTTCAGACACCTTCGCGTTACCCACTTAGCTGCTGAGTCCAGAGTGAACGCCAACTTTGAGATCCAGGTGCATCTAACTGATGAGTCCCAAATAGAACGAAACACGCGTCTTCGATTCCACTGCTAGCAGTCTGATATGATGGGAAGAAAAATCAATTTTCGATTGATTTACTTATTATGAGTTTTGTTCAACATTACTTCCTTTCTAATTCAATGTGATGATCATTCACTGTAGTAATTATTTTCTTTTCTCAGAATGATATTTTTTTCTGTATAATATACGATATTCTTGTATTCCATTGACATGAACTATACTCAGTCTGTGATTTTGTTATAACTCTAAGTATTTTTCATATATGTGATTTCATCTTAATTATTGATCAAATTGTGTGTACAATCAATATATAAATGAGTGTATTTTAGACTATTTTGATCATCATCGTCGTCGTGTTTTGGGGCTAATAAATCATCACTTATACCAGTCTTGTGTTCTTACTTTCGCATCATGGGAATTGCTGAGGTCCCTCGTTCCTAGTATAAGTGATCAGCGCATTTTCCGGCACAACAATTGCGACGACGCAATATAACAATTGATCCCATCCCCGTCGCCAATTGTTGATGCAAAATGGCTTTTATTTTACAATTAATGTTATATATCAATACTTTGTTTACTATTATAAGAATAAGAAAATTTTTCATTCGTTACCGCATAATTTCAATATTTTTTCGTTTGCACACACATTGATACACTAATTTCTTAAACCAACAAAGTTGAAGGTAAAAAGCGCAGTAATTGTTTATTTATAATTTGATAATCAATAATCGGAAATTTCGTCATCTTGGAAACAAAATTATTTTAATATTATGCAAACACTTGATCACTGTAATCGACTTCATCATTATGTATTTGCTAATGGAATGTCATCTTTTAAATGATGAAGTAAGACTTGTAACTCAAATTCCCATTGATACTTTTAGTTGTCTGACTGTTGAATGATTTAAATTGTAAAATTTTCGTCGTTCTCACTAATGTCAATATTTCATATAGAACTGAAGCTTTCAAAAATCATTCCACAAGTATCTAAATCATATTCATCTTATTAAATTTAGTTATCATTTGAGATAAACCATTAGATGATCAATCATTCAATTCATCTTTTGTCTGGGCTGACATCTAGATTCTTTATACTTCACAGTTATATATATAATTCACACAATGACTATATATATACGGTGTTCAATTCTATTCCCTTAAATTTTCTAAAACTACATTTTTCAGGTGATAAAGTATTGGTTGCTGTTAATGGAGAAATGAAAAAAGGTTGGATTGTTGGTGCACGACTACCATCTGTTAATGGTTGGCCACGTTTTGACTCAAACAATGTTGTGCTTATTGATAATGATGGCAATCCACTAGGTACACGAATACTTGTCCCAGTACCAGCGCGATTACGAAGTTTATCAGGGGATATAACGAAAATTCTATCGATAGCTAGTTCATTTGTATGAGAAAAATAATAAATGAAATAGAAAACAATAGTTTTTTCTAATTATTATTTTCTCTCCTTGTTTATCATTGTTTTAATAGAAGGACATTGAAGCGTAATTGTGTTTCTTCTTCTTAGGTATAGTGATCTATCATATAACCGATTTTGTTGCAGTTAAAAGTAATTCTCAACTTTAGGATATAGTCTCATAGATTTGCTTATTGTAATGACTACTTAGTCAAGTTATATTGTCTAAAAACACTCGTGTGACCCATTGTTTCACTAAGAAAGAAGGTTGTTTAAGGAATATTACGACTAAAAGCAGTACTAATTTTAATTAGGAATCTAAATTTTAACTATAGACTTTATATGTTTGACATATAAGTGAAATTCACGCAAATAGCGGTCATTGATACTGACAGTTATTGATTGAGGAAATTCATAGGATTCATCTCATGCTATCCCTGCATCTACGTTACTAACGGATTAATGTACAGTTTATTAGGAACGAGCGAGCAGTTGGGAAATGTAGAGTTTAGAATGCTATTACGTAACCAGATTCATCATTAGTGAATATAGGAAAAACGAACCGTAACACGAAATTATCATACTTCAGAAATATCATGATAAGTATTTAAGCCGAAGATCCGGTAATGAAATGAACAGTAAACGTATCCATATGTACTTCGTACTGCTGAATACAGAAACATTTGTTAGGGATGTCGCTTTTAATCAATCTTGTGTAAACTTCTCAACTACAAGTTATTAACATCTCAGAGCAATCATTCCTATAAGCTGCTACCATGTGGTTTTAGTTGATGACACAAATTATCTACGATCAGCAATCAATACAGTGTGAACTACTACAACCATAATCAAAAAGGTACACGTGTTTTCCAACAATTGTCTATGCAAAATACTGAATGTCTGTTGGCCGGATACAATCAGCAACAGCCTACTGTGCGAGAGACAAACCGGCTTCGAGATGAAGTGGAAATTAGGAAAAAACGTTGGGATTGGATAGGAAACACATTATGGAAATCACTAAACTGTATCACGAGGCAAGCTCTAGCAACTGGGAAGAACTGCCTAGGACAGAGTTGGATATATAATGCTGGTGGTTGGCCTATGTTCCTTCACGAGGGATAACAGGCATAAATGTGTGTTTAGTTGTTTAGCTGAATAAATTCTTTGTAGCTGAGTAACCATTCTCTGACTAGATCGCAGATTTTTTATTGGGATCACTTGAAAGCAAATTATTTTGGTGTCCACACCTAATGAATAAACGTAGACACGTCAAAACAGTAGATCCCCAACTCCACGTTGTCATCATATATAAAGGTCAATGAACATTTTTTATAAACATTCTAACTACTCACAAGTAGGTAGGGAAATTGTAAAAATATTTTTGCATTCTTCATATAGTGAACAAATTATAATTTTTACATCTGAGAAAACTACAAATTACTATGAGTGTGAATAAGGCTTTATTTCCTAAAACATAGTGAACGTCTTCATTACTTGATAATCACATTTTGATTATCTTGTATCTTCATCCAACCGGTAATTGTTTTTGGATTTGTGAAATTGCACAATATGTAAGTTGTAGATTTTGATTTTTCCAATAAATATTGGTTGTGGTCATTAATATGCATAAACTTATCATCTCAAATATAAAAATAATAGTAGGTGGCTGAATGTGAACAGTAGAACATCCTGGACATAGGTTTCGTGCTATTCAGCGCTCGTTAGCAGGGGCCATTTGTAATCCTAGTGGAACTAGTGAGGCCTAATGGATTCAGAGTTGTTTTACCAGCTTCATAGTCTGAAAATTTACCATTGAGATATTCGGACTGACTGGGATATTTACAATTGATTGATCACTGAATAACGACTAATGTTTTGTTTGGCTAGTCTCTTAGTACTGATCTAGCTCCAGCGATTCATCTGACTAGACAAAGGAGATTGATCATTTGTCAATGACCAATCAGTTATGAAGAATAGTTCTTACCGTTGAATAACATCATTTGCAAAATCTTTGATTTCGGTGGCTTGGACATGTTCTACGAATGTCGTCCCAGAGAATTCCACGTCGTGCATTATTTGCAGAATCTGGGACTGGTTGGAAAAAGCGGAGAGGTGGTCAGTATATGACATGGTGTCATGGTATGAAAGAAAGCTGCAAAGGGCTGGCTTGTGTTGGTCCTTCACGACTCCATGGCTGAGGTCCGAAAGATGGTGCGACACAGTGGCTAGAGACGTTATCAGATATGGCTCAGAATAGAAGCCAGTGGCGATTCTGCTGTAATCTGCTTTTACTTTCTTCATAAAAAAGTGATTGTATCTTCCTTAACTGAAAGATTTCTTCTGATTGTACCTTTCCGTTCCCCCATTTTTACCATTATTATTATTACACCACCTTACATCGATCTCTTCGTTATTATTCTCTCTTTTTTTTCCTTCCCCTTAAATTCTCATTGTTTTATGTGGCGCATTCTTGTACCATTATTTATGTGTTCAAATAAATAAATTTAATAAACATTAAAAATGATAAATTTCTGATAAATTCTTGAAATTCATAATAATTTTTTATCAAGTAGTTTGCTAAAATGACAATCATATGCATTATTGTGGACCCGTAAAAGAACTTCATCACATTATGATAATATGCTAACGAATGAGTACTATATAAAACCAAATAATAATACGGTAAACTGAAATGCAGTATGCAACTAGGTAGAACAGTAAAAGTAACGCTCAAAACCAAGTTATATACATAGTTCTCTTTCGTATTCATTTCAAAATTTTCTGAGGATTCAAAAATATCTAACAGTCATAGTTTATATTCTTCATAACTCTGTCGTTTACATATACAATACTACAGTCAGTAAGTTAGTTTTCATATACACAATTCTATTGATTCTTCTTTGAAAGTCATAATATCTGTCGTCTCTCAGTGATGTATTATTATCATTGTATTCGTTCCCAATTGTACAGAGCTTCTGTTGAATCTTCTTCAATAGACACTTACATAAATAAGTAAATTTTTAACGTCTTTGATATGTTGTTAAACATTTTCTTTCCAGGGACTTTTATATTGAAACAGTTAAGTGTTAGTTTCGTTCTATTCAAAAAGTATCTGTCTATGTACCATTAGTTTATAGGCTCAAATATATTGTTCAGCTAATTTTAAAAAAAACGTTTTAGCACAACTGACCTAAATTTAGGACAAGCTCATTTCATTGCATCCAACTAATCTAGTAATATATTGTCCAAGTAAGTTTATCATTAATGTACAAATATATCTTAGAGAAATTCACCATGGTTTCACTTATGAACTAATTTTAGGACATAAATCATGAAATTTCTGACGAGAATATTTAACATTCATTCTAAGCGGAACAAAATCCAATCATAAAATGAGTTTTACACATTCAAATATACACTAAATAGCCGTTTTTTTTGTTGTTTCTACACTAAACATTTTCAGATCGGTTAACATATACACAATTTAATATCTTGAAGTTCATTTACAAAAATAATTGTTACTGATGTCTATTTATTTATTAATGTTTGTTTTTTTCTCTTCTTTCTTTCTTATGCTTCATTCTTTTCAACTTTTCTTTATCTTAAATTCAAAAGCTTTTTTGTTTTGTTTTTTTCTAGATAAAAAAAATTCTACGCTAGTTTTTTTCTACCTTTAGTCGTACTGTGAATAAATCACTCATGTTTTTGAAAAAAAAAGTATCCTCCAAATCAGTTTAGAATGTTCTTACGGGAAAACAACATCATTATTCATCCGTGTGAAGGAAGCTCAATGAAATATGGCGTGTGTTGATTTGCTGATAAAAACATATACACATGATAAAGCATTATATCTGTAATTATGTATAATGTCTATATGTCTATTGTCTGTATTATAAAAAAAAAGATTCTTGTCTGTATGCCGAACATACATACACACACGAGTAACTACATACATTCAAGTACAAGAAAGAAAGACAGGACGCAATAATACCAAGTTCCGAACGTTGTGAGACATGTACATTTCTACATATATATATACACAGGGATACATAAATCAAATGTCCTCGAATTGGGTCACATTCAATGCATGCTTTTGTGAATAGATTTTTTTTTATAAAACAACCTAGTAATTTGACATTTATAAATCGGACTATATAATGGTTAAATACTAAGGTTTTTTTTAGAAAAAAATTCTCATCGTTCCTTACAGTTTTTCACAAAATGATTTTTACACTGTTTGTTAAGCACAAAAACGCAAAATAGATAAATAGGTTTAAATTCATTTTCAAAGTAAATAATTTACCAGTATAATATACAAACAAATTTATAGCATTATTTCATTTTATATATTATATTATTGTAAATAAAAGTCTTCTAAAATGCTTTTGAAATTTCATTGAGTACCGACGTGAAGAGACATCAAGTGGATAGTCCTAAACTGTTAGTCATGCTTTAAGATTCCTAATGATGACATTATTAACAATAAAAATTGTAATTGTTATCATTATATATATAATAACTCTATTCCTAGACTTTGATAAAGGATCTTTCTACTGAACTGTAGGTCAATTTAGTGTACGGTTTTTCTCATAATCACTAACTCATTTAGTGTTTTAAATTTTCATATATAAAAAAAAACTATTTTCATTTAATCGTCATATGATTTCTTTTTTTCTTGTCATTGTTGTCTATTGTCTCTCACATATACTGTATGTTATTAGTTGTACTCGTTATCACAGAGTAATAATAGATATCCAATCAACTCGAGGATTATTTTCTCTTTACTGATATTAATATTCGCTTGGAAACTAATCAATAATTAAGAAAATTGTTAAACGTTATTCAATGCTTTCTTTTGTATGATAGGTTAATTAGGTAAAAATTTTTACTATAAACACTTGTGTACTATTTATTGGATTTTTAGACAAGCGAGTTTTTAATTTGTGGTAATATCAATAATAAAACCTATATCAGAACATTATGACTTAAGAAGTTCTCTATGATTCAAATATGAATTTATTGATAAGTAGTGCGTTGATCAAATTACTTCGAAACTTTTTAAATATCAGGCAGACTAGAAAAAAGTACTTCC